AGTAAAATCTTCTTAGAAAAAGTTGTAGAATTTAATTCCTTATTGAAAATTATTCCTTTCTATTTGACAAAAAAAAAAGTTGATGAGCCCTGGGGGCGTACCATACGTTGAAAAAAAATTTGACTTTAGATTCAGATTCTATATCTACATAAGTAGTAAATAGAAAAAATAAATAAATTGGGGGGGTTAGTTTATAAATAATCACCCGGTGTTCAACATGGGCACTGTAAATCTGTGCAATAGTTGTATTCTACAAGCGGGTCACCTGCGCTGGGTTTGCCCCAAAAGGAGATGTCCGTGGGTCAATCGGGTATGGCTTATCCTCAAATGGGTGAGAAGATCTCTTCCTTGCATTTTAGATTTTTGGTGGGCTCAGTTGCTCTTGACAATGGCTCAAACCAACCGGCACTCATCTGTGAAAAGAACAGCTCCTCATTGTTCAAGTGCCCAACCGAGATGCTGAATTGAGAGATTCGAACTTTTCATCAAACCTTAATGAACTCTTAACCGACAAACTCTACAAGAAAAGTGCCGAAGAAAAATCTTCTTTGAAAAAATCGTAGAAAACAATTTTGGACTTGAAATTCAGATTCTACGTTAAAAATTATGTAAAGACTAGTCTTATTTTTTTTATTATTTCCAAACAAAAGCTATACAAGAGGGTAGTTTATAAATAATCATCCGGTATAGTTGTTTGTTTGTAGGAATTAGTAGAAAGAGAATATCGAGTAACCCATTGACCCTTACAGTTAATTGAAGGCTGATATGACTCCATTGTCGGTAGCCCAAAATAACCATAAATCATAAATCATGAATTATTAATCATATTAGGACTGCAATTAAAATTAATGTGAGTGGTTTACTTGTTTTATTCATCCCATATCATGGGAAAATCGAATAAATTTGACTTGTTTTCGAAATCTAAAAATGCGAAGTTCCTCTCAGATGAAGGAGGCGTTGGTTTAACCTTTCGAGTCCGTTTCTTTTCACACAAGTGCATAATATGTAGTAGAAGGCCAATGATGTGAAAATTGTCGATTGTCGGGAGTAATTCGGTAATTTTCATTTGGAACAATAAAAATGTAGTGGAGGAGGAAACGGAGGAAGAGTCGACTTTCACCGGGGCCGTGCGAAACGGGTGAAAATGACCGAAGACACGTGGAGATGGGGGTCCGACCTTGTCTAGATTTTTAACTTTTCCCCACTACGAGGTCCGTTCACCTCCGCTCTCTTCTATTTTCGATAAGTCCCGGTATTTATAAACGGGCGAATTTTGCGTTTATTAAAAGACGTTCTCCGTGGGAAAAACGTCAGAGCTTGGCGAGATTGGATCTATTTCTGAAGACCTCTTCAAAAAACAAACAAAGAATTGTTTTTCTCTCGGTGTGATATAAATAAAGAAATCCAGCTCGAGATCATAATTGTCAACGGGGATTTTCCCCGAGCTTCAGGCGCGAAAATTACATCTCTGTACCGTTGGTAAATACAATGGTAAAAAAATTTTTGAAATTATTCGTATCTAAGAGTTTTTCATTATGAAATTGCACCTGAGTTGAATGTCAATCGACTTTTTTTAAATTCGAATTCATTTTCTTTAATTTATGCTTTGGAAAACCTTTCCTCTTTGGTCCTACATATAGATCATTTTCTTCAGAATTGCATTTATTGACCAGAAATTTTTCATTTTATTTTTTATTTTATAGACAACTGTAATGAAGGAACAAGAAGTAAATATATTTTTTAGAATATCTAAAACATAACTTTATTACATGAGGAAGTCATCACACAAAGGGGTTTCTTCAATATTGTAACTGCTCAATTTTTACACTACATTAAGAAGCCTGACCAATTCCATTATACTGATTATTTGAAAGAATGGAGATTGCAAGTAGGTTACTGTGAGTAGAAAGGGTGGAGTGAAATGTAAAGTATATAGTTATTGCCAGAAAGAAAGAAATGTTGAGGTCAAGTTTGATACGTACAAACATCGACTATTTTTCGGAGGATCATGTTTGGATCTTCCTCCTGGAGGATGGGTTGTTCTGGAGTCTCAAATACTTCCTTCACCGACGACCTTAAAATCCCTTTTTTACAAAGATTAAGTACTCAAAATATTACCAAGTTACACAATCCAAGACCAAAGACAAAACCAACATTTTTCCAACAGATCCCAAAAATAATAAACGAGAAGTGAAGTGTAATGTTGATCATTCCCTCCCTTCAATGCAACCGTGTATATCATAAATAAATGTATATGATTCTACAATATCAGCAAAGAACATACTAGTTTCAAATTTGCAGATTGTAATAAAAAATTGATTTTAATCTTTTTTTTTTAATTTTGTATTCACAATAATAAAAAATTATCCTCGTTTTCTTATTATATTGGCAAAAAAAGAAACGTTTCTTGTATTATTATAGCTGTGTAGACGTGACGATTGTCCATCTGAAAAATTGTATTTGCCCAGAAAGACGAAAGCCCTCTCTGCTCGGCAGATCTTTATAAATAAGGCAGACCGTTAACCATTTTTGACGTAGGTCGAATCATGATATTTGGCCGGCTGACGATCATGATTAACGCGATCTATTAATTTTCACTTCGTTCATTTGAGGTTCAATAAACTTTATTTCTCGGAGGGCGACTCTATACATTTTAAAAAACCTATTTTATTTCATTTACCTTTTATTTAAATAAATAACTAATTGTATTCCTTTATTTTAAAAAGGACTGGAACGCATTTCGGGGTTTTGCCCTCCTGCTCATCAGGCAGAGTTTCCTCTGGAGCATTTTTTTCTAATATATGTGTTAACAACTCATCTCATTCAAAAAGAGAGAGAGCAAGAGAGAGGAGTATGAGGGAGAGGAAGAAATCAATCAAAGAGAGGGAGACAGTGAATGAGTGAAAAAGAAAGAAAGAAAAACACAAGCAAAAACAGAATCTTGAAATTCAGGGAGAGAAAGAGAAAACGGAGAGAGAGAGAGAGAGAGAGAGAGAGAAGCAACAACAAGAAAAACATACAAATCTCTTGATTAAATAATATACCAAATTTAGTAAAGTTTCCCGATGTTTATACAGGAAATAAAGCAAGTTAAAAAAATAAGAAACAATCAAATCTTCTAAAACTGACTTAAATGATTTTGATGATGTTGAATTTTTTTATTTATTATTGTTTTTAATCAAAGCTGTTTCCATATTTTTATATATTAATCATAAACCTTTTTCTCTTTTTTTCGTGGGCTTCTTTTGAGTTTTTGCTCCTATGTTATTTAGCAAAATATAACATGTAGATCTTATAAGCTTGTTGGTTTTATATAATTAATATAAAATTATATAATAATNAAGAAGCAAGTCTCTTCCATTGCAATCTGCTCAATAATTTAAGATAGACATACCTGAAAGAAGAATCACCTTAGAACAACTAATTTAAAAATTAATAATAATAATTAAAAAGGATTTTTTATAAACTTTAATTGAAAATGTCTACATTGTCATTAGTATATTAAATTTAGATAATATAAAACCTTAGATCACACTACTCCCAGATAATTTGTATACCTTGGGAACTCCACGTTGTTATGAGTGATTTCAACTTAAATATGGTGTGCCTCAGGGCTATGTGTTAAGACCAATTTAATTTTTCACTCTGATCAACGATATGTTGTAATGGAAAGATTTCTTCCTGTACGTTGGGTGTTAAACCCGTAATTGATCCTTTAACGATCATTTTCGTCTGCCTATCTTCGCTGATTTTGTCTTTCTGACGCGTTTCGGAATTTCGCCATTTTCCATTTTATCCAATACCATCAGGTTTTTTTTAAATGCGAGCAAAATTCAAACTATTGCTTTTCAATTCGAGTAACCTCTCAAATGGAATAATTCAATGAAATCTTTCAAAAATCCATTAAGTACCAGAATTAATTGATTAGCTCACCAATTCTAATGTTTTTTCTATGAACTCTAATTTACAAATGCAATAAAAAATGTTTCGGAATTTCACCATTTTCAATTTTATCCAATACCATCAGTTTTTTTTTTATGCAATCAAAATTGAAACTATTGCTCTTCAATTCGAGCAACCTCTCAATTCAGATAATTCAGTGAAATCTTTCAAAAATCCATTAAGTACCACAATTACTTGATTAGCTCCCCAATTCTAATGTTTTTTCTAAGAACTCTAGCGTTACAAATGCAATAAAAAATGTTTTGGAATTGCGCTATTTTCAATTTTACCTAATAACATCAGTTTTTTAAATGCAAACAAAATTCAAACTAGTGCTCTTCAATTCGAGTAACCTCTCAAATCAAATAATTCAGTGACATCTTTCAAAAATGAATTAAGTACCACAATTAATTGATTAGCTCTCCTATTCTAATGCTTTTTCTATGAGCTCTAACGTTACAAATGCAATAAAAAATGTTTCAGAATTTCTCTATTTTCAATTTTATCCAACATCATCAGTTTTTTTTTAAATGCAAACAAAATTCAAACTATTGTTCTTCAATTCGAGTAACTTCTCAAATCTAATTTGAATAACCTGTAATTAAGTGGAATCTTTCAAAAATGCATTAACTACCACAATTAAATGATTATCTTCCCAATTCTAATGTTTTTCTATGAATTCTAACTTTAAAAATCCAATAAAAAATTTGATGAAACGGGTATGCCTGTGTTTTTGGGTCGGATCGGTAGAGAAGCTCCTACAGATTAAAAGTTCGGTCGATTGATGTCCTCATCCTCACCAGATTAAGAACAGGCCATACTAGGTTGAAACACGAACACTTACTTTTCGGCCAAAGCCCGCGTAGGTTTCCGGAATGCAACCTTTTTTAAAAAATCATTGGCAACTCAGTGAGCAATTACAGGGCTACAATTTCTTAACTAAGCTAAAATATTTGCCAGCATAGAAAAGTGCAACTGCAAGGTTATGTGTATACGTCAAAACAGTTACCGGAATATTCGTTTATAATTAAACGTGTGACAAAAAAATAAAAACATACCCGACTGCGCCGTTGGCAAGGACCTGCTTCTGCTTTTCCAACGTCTCCGCGACAACCATGGGTGAGTAAAGTCGTATTGGAGAGTTGTACTGCTTGTTGACCAGGTTGCTCCTAAATGCTGCCATCGCTGGAGAACTGGTGAAAACAAGAGTAAAGAACATATAAAACATATAAGAAAAAACAAAAGAAACTGAAATTTTACTAAAAGATATTGTATGAATTTGTAGGAAACCGAGTGGTTAGGTCCGACTCGTATATAGTCACTCTGCCAGTTCAGTGATCGAATTCTGGCATAACCTTTAGAATTTAAATTGATATTAATATGTAAAAAATAATGTAAAATAGCATGAACCAACGACGTTACACTTCCTGTTGACTGAAATTACTAGTGAGGTTAAGTTGTCTTAAGCACTGTTCATTACGTATAAGCCCTGGATGATTTAATGTAATCAACTAATGTCAAATAGCAACTGTTAAACATATAAATGTTTTTTCACTAAACAATAATTAAATAACAGTACATCATTGTGCTGTAATGAGTCTACCTACAGTGCAAGTCTACCTTTCCCATTTCACTTATCTCTATATCAAAAGTAAAACTGAAGCCGTAATTATTTTTTTTCTTTCTATGTGAAACTATGAGATTTACGGGAATAGAAAAAAAAAAACTCCGCCAGTCAGCTTTGGTCATGAATGGAACTAAATGGCTTTCACATTCCCACCATGCATATTAAACTGGACGGTCCGCCAGTAAATCCGAATTCATTGAATGCTCACCACTCCATCTTCTACATCTACTGTGCATGCATCACAAGTAATAAAAAACTTGGAGAAAGCCAATTAGAAGCTTTTCTTTTAGTTATGTATTATTGGCTTTTGTTGTGGTAGTAAAAAGTAAACAAAGGAGCTTCACTTCAACAAGGCCGATAAACACTTAAGTTTTACCAGTTTGTCTGCAAATGTTAAATACTCCAACACACTTTTACCATTTACATTAACTTAAATATAACTAAAAAAAACCATAATTAACAAAAATATGATATAAATTAAGGAAAAACTCGCACCCGGAAAGAATATTTAACACAAAGTAGTGTTTTCCCTTACATTTAAAACGTTAAGACACAGCGTTAGCCTTTACGATTCAATTCAAGAAAAAAAATGAATGACTATTTTAATACTAATGATGAGAATAATAGTAGTTCGTTAAATTATAATTAGTTTGGAAAAATTAGTATCATTAAAGATAGAAATAAATTTAGAAGTCAAGGTCACTACTGCAATTTAAAAACTTCCTGAAGTATATGTAAATTCTGATGCATGCAAAACATAAAGTTTATAGATAGGGAAGAAAAAGTTGTAAGATAAATATACTTACATATATATATATATACATATTTATTTATCTTACAACTTTATGTATATATATATATATATATAGAGAGAGAGAGAGAGAGAGAGAGAGAGAGAGAGAGAGAAAGAGAGAGAGAGAGAGATAGAAAGAGAGAGAGAGAGAGAGAGAGAGAGAGAGAGAGAGAGAGAGAGAAAGAAGTAGAAAGAAAGAGAGATAGTTTGATAGATAGAGAGAGAGGAAGAAAACAAGGTCACGATTAGAGGAAGAAATTTTAAAAAATATAAGCCTAAAAGCAGCCTTAAAAAAATGACGAACAGTTAAAAAGTGGAAGAAGATAAATATGAAATACAGAAATGAAAATATGAAACGACGTGAATAAATAAACAAAATTAATTCCTGGATGAAATATATATGCACAACTTCAGTGTAAAAATGAGAAGAGAGAGAGAGAGAGAGAATAAAGAAAGAGATAGCGTGTGTGATAGATGATACAAGTGTGTGTGTTTTTGTTATACATAGGTATGGTATGGTATGGTGGAAAGGATACTGGGAAGCGGGATTTGTATTCCTCAGGCACTGCAGCCTTCTGGCTTATTGTACCTTCCTAGTTCCTTAGTTCAGTCAATAGACTCAATCCTTCTTCTTAGAATATCAGGTCATTGACTGTCGCTGCTGCAATTTGATTCCCTAAGTTTTTTCCGTACGTTAGGTTAAACCTCCATTGAGCTGTTGCTTCGAATTCGAAGATGATATGAGTGGCTGTTTCCTCCTCCTCATTACATAATCTGCAAATGAGATCATCATTGTATATACCCATGTTTGTAGATGTTTTCTCAGATACCAGTGACCGGTTAGTAGTCCCACCACTCCTCTGAGTTTTGCCCTCTCCAATTGCAGCAGTGTTTTTGCCAATTTTGGTGAGGGTTGTTTCATCATAAGTTTACTAAGTCTAGCACTGCTAGAGTTTATCCACTTCTCTCTTTGTTTTGTTTGGATCCATTCTGCGATGGAGGATTCTATGTTTGTTTTTGTTATCCCAAGGATAGGTTCGGGGCCTATGTATGGTCTTGCAGATCCTCCTCTGGCTATCATCAGGTTGTTGTGTTTTCCCACGTTTTGGAGATTTTGGATACATTCACTGACTAGTTTTGATGTAATTCTTTTACATGCCAATGCTTTAATTGCTGCTTGGATGTCTGATCTTATGAGGATTTTTTTGTCAGTGTAACCTCTTTTAAGATTTTCCAGGGCACAAGCGTTGATGGCATGTATTTCTGCTTGAAAGACCGAAGTATACTTCCCTAATTAGTTTGATTGCTCATGTTTTGGGCTGGTACAGAAAACGCCTGATCCGGCTCCTTCGTTTGTTTTGGAGCCATCTGTGTACCATATCATTGTATCTGATGCTCTCCTGAGTTCTTCCTCTCCTTTATAGTCTGTTGAGACTTTATAGGAAGTTGTGAAGATTGTTTCCGGGTTGTTCATGTAGTCAGTCCCCATTTCTAATAATGGGTGTCTGATTTTATTGATTATGGTTGTGTGCCCGAATTGTTTGGTTCCTTTCCAATTTAATTGTTTTTGGAGCCTAAATGAGCTTTTCCTAGTGAATATTTCTAGTGGAGGTAGGTTTAGCAAGGTTTCTAATGCGTTTGTAGGGGTTGTTCTCATCGCCCCTGTGATACATAGGTTTGCTAGTCTTTGTAAGCTGCCTAATGTTTGGGTAGGTACTTTTTGTTGAGCTTTGTTCCACCAGATTACTGATCCGTAGGTTATTCTGGGTCTTATTACTGCCGTGTATAGCCAATAGGCCATTTTCGGTTTTAGGTCATTTTAGTTTATACATAGGAATACAATGTGAATGTCTGTGAGGAAAGGGGGAGAGAGAGAGAAGAATTATAAGGTGCGCTAGAAATTGGGAAAGGAGGAAAGAAAGAGAGGTGCAAGTAGAGAGAAATAATGAAGGTGTAATGGAGGGGAAGAGAAAAAGATAAAGGGAGAATGAGAGAGAGAACGGGGAGAAAGAGACGAAATAAAATGGATTGCGAAAAATTATGAAGGCAGCAGAAAAAAGGAAGAGTTGCAATTCGAGGAAATATATAAAAAGAAAGAAGAAGGGGGAGATAGAGAGATAGGGAGAGAGAAAGAGACAAAAGAAACGAAATTAAAGGGGGTGTGAGAAACTACGAAAGAAGCAAAGAACGTGAGAGTTGAAGATAGAGGTAAAAAGTAAAAAGTGGAAGGAAGGGAAAGGGAAATAGATAGCTAGATACATAGGTAGATTGGGGGAGATAGATAGAGAGAGAGAGAGAGAGAGAGAGAGAGAGAGAGAGAGAGGGAGAGAGAGAGAGAGAGAGAGAGAGAGCTATAGATAGATAAATAGAGAGAGAGAGAGAGAGAGAGAGAATGAGAAAATATAGATCGCGAGAAAGAGAGAGAGAAAAATTATGTTTGCCAATATTTTGTGTTGATATTTGAAAACATAACATTCGTCTTCATTTTTTATAGTTTATTTAACCTTCGTACATTTCTGTCCTCATTTATTCCAGCTTTGTTAATAAAAAATAAAGCAAATTGCATGACATCTTTTCAAGTTTGTATTTTTCGTTAGCTTGGATTATCAAATTAACGATCATCAACAAACTTAAATATTATTTTTGGCTTGCGTCTGAATTATCTTTCCATTTAAGGCCATTTTGGTTCATATTTCGTTTCCAAACTCCTCAATAACATAAGCCCTCCCATAACACAAAAAGTTGAACAATAGTATCAAATAATTCTGAGTTAAGAATAATGATTCATACGCTCCAAAAGCATAAGCAATAGGCCGACGAGCAAGGAAAAATTTTATAATCTTTAGACATTTTTTGATAATATGAAAACGTTGGAAATTATGCAAGAGCGGTGGAAATCTCCAATGTGAGGATGTGACTCGTCGAATTTAGAACTGGCACCGTTTCATTTTAATGCAAGAATTAAGTCGAGTCTACGTAAATTGCTAATAATAACAGGTTTGGTCCTCTTAACTGTCTCATTTTATTTGAATATCAATTAGTCATCTTCCAATTTTAAACCAAGCTTCGAGACAACTTAATCTCTCACTGCAATAATCAGCCTGAATCATAAGTGATTTTTTTTAAGTTTAAGGACATGTTTAGAAAAATCTTAATCCTGTAGGGGTTTTTCTTATGCCATGTTGGTATAAAAATTAAATTTGGCTATTTTGTTACCTATTGTATTATTTTTTAATACTGCAAAGTTAAAAAACCTTCAATTCTCACTTTTGTCTTAGATAAAAGGTCGCGATTTGGTCCTCGTCTTATCTGTACCCAGTGGCCCTCGAAGGATCTGACCTGTAGAAGAAGGGTCATCCTCACCCGATTAAGGATAGGCCATGCGAGGTTGACACACGGGCGCTCACTTTTGGGCCAAAGTCTGTGTCCGGCATATAGAGAAAGTTGCTTGGTTGGTGTCCTACCTAACTGAAGGGTCCAATTCCTTGGCTCCATATAGAGAGTGTGTAGGAATGCCACCCGGTATGAGAACTATTCTTGCGCAAGACAGCGATTATTTGGATTGCTTTATTGTTCCATTTTCCTTCCTTCCATTATTCCCCTTTTCCAATTTTTAATGAAACTTTTTTTTTATTAAATATAGTACTGATAGTTGCGAGTGAATGTATTTATTGGCATAAATGTGTAGAGTGAATGAAAAGGCAGTTGGCGAAATATTGAGTACCCCATTGATCCCCTGTTTGGTTAGATACGTGGTATGTGAGAAAGGTGAT